GAGGTGTCCCGGCTGGTTGAGAGAAAATGACAGGCCCACTCCTGTCGTCTACAACATCCAACATCGGATAATGAGGAGGCTTACCGCAGCCTTCACTCGGAGATTCGGAGAGCCGTATGGCGCTGTAAGGATGAGCGGTAGGTGCGGGTTACTTAGGAGATGGAATCTGCCTCAGTAGCCCGCAATCACAAATCACTATTTAATTCCATCAAAAAAGTTACTTGCAGCGCTTCACCTTACACCATCCTTAAGGGAAAGAGTGGTAATCCGATCTCCGACCCCCAGGAACAGGTCTGCAGGTTTGCAGAACATTTCTGCGAGGTCTTGGGGGAGGGGAATTCCCTCAGGCCAGACAACATCATGGGGCAAGGTGAAGACGACCCTTCTAGGGCTGCCTTGCCTCAAATGTTGGCCGAGGTAGCCACCCCTTCTGAGTGGTTGGCTGAGGTGCCATCTATGGAGGAAGTGCGAGGGGCGATCCGAAGTCGGAGACAAGGAAAAGCGCCAGGCAGAGACGATCTCCAAAGCTAAATGCTGAGGGAGAGTGGCATCTGTGTGCAGACTGCCCTCCATGACATCATCACAACTGTCTGGACCAAAGGACGTGTTCCGCAGGATTGGAAGGAGGGGGGACCACACAGATTGTAACAACTGTAGGAGCATCTCTCTTCTAAGTGTGCCGGGGAAGGTCCTGGCAAGGATTACACAACGTAACACAATTTTTGTTTCTGGGTAGGAAGTGTTATTTCATAATTGCTTATGCCTAAAAAGTATAGAAAATGGCTATTATTCCCCACAAACTTTGCTTTTGTGATCAGGACAGTGATATTTTGAAATTTACCTATTTTCAATGACAAAACGGGCGAATTTGTGTTTTTTCGTTTACAAAGTAAGAAAAAAACAACATATGCATCAAAATTAACATGTATTTATACCAAAGTAATACAAAATTATTACAAAAGATTTAGAAGTGAGTAGCTTTTCGATATTAACGATTATACTGTAAATCACTTTCACGAATCAGCCCCCAAATGTAGTCAGTCTCCCATCATGTTATCGTTATACTGTCCTTGGTAGCGGCATTCAAAGTCCATTATATCCTGGTGGAAGCACTCGCCTTGCTCCTCCAAGTACGCTCCCATGTTCTCCTTGAATTTATCAAGATGAGCATCAAGGATATGGACTTTGAGGGACATCCTACTGCCCATTGTGCCGTAGTTCTTCACCAGAGTCTCAACCAGCTCCACAGAGTTTTCGACCTTGTGATGGCCCAGGAAGCCACGAACCACTGCGACAAAGCTGTCCCAAGGCGCTTTCTCATTATTAGTGAGCTTCTTGGGGAATTCATTGCACTCCAGGATCTTCTTTATCTCTGGTCCGACGAAGACACCGGCTTTGACCTTTGCCTCAGACAGCTTAGGGAAGACGTCTTGAAGGTACTTGAAGGCTGCCGACCCCTTATCTACAGCTCTGACAAATTGTTTCACAAGGCCCAATTTGATGTGCGGTGGTGGCATCAGCACCTTCTGGGGGTCCACCAGTGGCTACCACTTGACGTTGTTCCTCCCCACAGAGAACTCGGTCCGCTGTGGCTAGTCCCGCCTGTGGTAGTGCGCCTTGGTGTCTAAATCTTTTGTAGTAATTTTTGTATGACTTTAGTATAAATACATGTTAATCTTGAATCATATGTTACTTTTCTATGACTTTATGTGAATGAAAATAGGTAGATTTCAAAATATCACTGTCCTGGTCACAAAAGCAAAGTGTGTGTAGAATAATAGCTATTTTCTGTACTTTTGAGGCATAAGCAATTAGGAAATAACACTTACTACCCAGAAACAAAAAAAATGTGTTACACAGTGTTATTCAACATCACCTTGTCAGGCACTCTGAGGAGAGGCTTGCGGAGCCCCAATGTGGCTTCAGACCAGGGCTGTCCTGCCAATGCATGCCCAAGCAGCTGTCCTGAACGGATGTCATATTCTCTTTCCGTCTGCTAAAGCAGAAATGTAGGGAATTCCAACAAGACCTACATCGCTGTTTTATTGAGCTAGTCAAGGTCTATGATACCATCAACAGGCCAGGGCTGTGGGCAGTTATTTGTGCTTTCGGAGTCCCTGACTCTCTGCTCACAATCATGAAAGGCCTTCATGATGGTGGGCAGTCCCGGGTAAAGCTACGTGGCCAGAAGTCGGAGCCATTCCCTGTTCACCTGGGGTGCGACAGGGATGCCCTCTGGCTCCCACATTATTTAATGTTATCTTTGATCATGTAGTTCTAGAAGTTCTCCATGGCTCTACCGTAGGAATTTCCATCTGGTACAGATATAACGAGAGGCTGATCAATGCCCGGGTGCGGTCGAGAAATGGCTCCCTATTGGTCAACCATGTTATGTATGCCGATGATCTGGTAATTGCCGCTCACTCAGAGGAGCAGTTGGAGGCGCTACTGCTGAACCTGGAGTGTGCCACTAAGAGGTGGGGCCTTACCATCAGCGCCACCTGCCTGGGTCTTTTGTGTCATCAAACACTACACCCCCTAGGCTCCCCATTGGTGATGGAGCAGTTGTGGAGAGTGGAGAGTGTCCCATACCTGGGTAGTGTGCTTATGACCAGTTCCGGTTTGACAGCAGAAGTATCACTCTCAATCAGTCGGGGAGCATTATCTTTTCATCGGCTGCACAATGCTGTGGAAGCTACACCTGGTCGTCGCTCCGCACAAAGCTTCTGAAACGTGAACCCCTATAATAGAACATCTGCGCCGGTTATAAACATTCAGGCTGGCATGCCGACGATCCATCCTGGGCTTAACCAGACTGGATTGTGTCAGGAGCTGACGAATCCTTTAAAGATCTCGAGACTTTCCCATCAGTGAGTTCCTTCGGCAGGCAAGGCTGCATTGGCTGGGTCATGTTGCCCGCATGCCCAGCCAATGCATGCCCAAGCAGCTTCTGTTTAGCCGCAAAGAGGGGGCTAAACGGGCACGACACGGGCTGGAGAAGAGTTGGACTGATGCAGTACGGGAGGATGTGGAGCTGAGTGGACTTGCCGGCGGTGTCAAGATCGGCCTCTGTGGAGGAGGCTCGTGAAGGACGCTACTGCTACTGGGTAGTTGGAGGCAGTCGCCCTCCAGCAACAACGGAGGGCAGAGGAGGGACGCTCACAACAACGAGCGGAGCGCTAAAATGCGGCAAGTTGGCATAGCTGGCGTATCCACCAGTCATCTCAGTCAGACAACCCATGGCACCTGCAGGGTCTATCCCGAGACCTCCTGTCAGCGAGCCTTCGACACTTCACGTGGCCTCAAAGTGAACCTAGCCTGGCACAGGCACCGTGGTGTCGCCGAAGTCACTTAGTGACGAATGGCGGTTGTGTTGGTATTGGTGTGTGTTATGGGGAGCGGTGGTGTAGCGATTAGCGCACTGCGCAACGAACACGGCGACCCGAATTCGATTCCCGTAACACCGGTGACGATGATTCAAACCGGTCCAGGTCCTTCCCGAGGTCGACTCAGCCTCAAATGAGTACCTGGTGCGGTGTGCAAAGCATCGCCACTGCGGAGAAAAAGGCGGCCGGGCGTGGTGCTGGCCACCCAACTCCTGGTGTGCCGGCTTTCAAAGGTGCTCTCTCGCAGCATTTCCCCTAGCAGTCTGTCGAAGGCTGTATGGGGGATATTTGTCTCTACACTTGTGTTGTTCCCCTGTGCATATGCTTGGTGCGTGCACCTGCGTGGTCATCTTTATCTACACGTGTGCGTGCACCAGGGTGCACACGAGTATGTTTTACCCGTGTGTGTGTTGATCTTTGCGTACTCCTGTGAGTGCACTTGCATATACTCATACACCGATGTGTACAAATGCAGTATTCGCATTCACCCGTGTGTATACGTGTTTGTGTGTACACGTGTCTGCGAGTGTACACCTCCGATTAGCACATTTGGCTACGTACGGTGCGACAGAAGTTCAACATACATACACGTGGGGAGAGGTAGTGTAGTGGTTAGCCCACTGACCCAACATTGGTGACGATTATCTAAACCGGTGCTCGGCCTCTCATAGGTCGACTCAGCCTTAAATCAGAACCTTGCGCGGTATGTAAACATCAGCATTGGGAGACAAAGGTGGCCGGGCGTGGTACTGGTCAACCACCCCCTTGTGCGCCGCGTTGGTCTGAATAGGTGCTCGCCAACACCACTTGCGCCAACATTATCTTAAGGCTGAACGGGGGATCTTTGTCTTTGTGTGTACACCTGCGACTGCGCTGTGCGCATGTTAGCGCAGAGCGCTGACCCCCTACGCACGCACACCCGCCTACAGGGTATACTGTCGACATAGACTGTCTATTTCGCCTGCACGACACTGCACTATACTGCACTATACACACAGACACCAGCCACAGGCAAAGAAAATGCGACGATTGGCCACGATAAGAGATAACGGGACCCTATTTGTGAAGACAAATTCATTCATTCATTCACACACAGAGACAGCTGTACTGCCTGCAAGCACACCTGCTCACTGCCATAAGGATTTGTATTTTTCAAAGCGAGCAGTGATGATGGTGATGTTCATCATCATGATTGTGATCATCCTCATCATCATAACGGCCATGACTTCCATGGAAGACAAAGATCCCGCGGATATCCTTCACGAGACTGTTGGGGCAAGTGCTGTTAGCGAGCACCTATTTAAGCCAGCACGGTGCACTTCGGGGTGGTGTTACCAGCACCGCACCCGGTCGCCCTTGTCTATCCCCAGTGCTGCTGTTTATATACCACACATATGGTACTCATTTCAATGATGGTATCGCCACTGATGTTAGCCGTGGCCCGGAAACGTACCTCGGGTTGCCGGGTTCGTAGCGCAGTGCGCTAACTGCTGCGCCCCCGCTCCTCATAGGGCTACCCCCTTCGTTCACAACCAAAGCATCACTATCAGCAGCAGCAGCAATAGCCTAATCAGCACCATCAGCATGCCACGAAGCTGAGACGTAACGGCTCACCGTGACTCCGATACGCGGCTCCCGGTCTCTCCCGGTCTCCGCCGCTCAGATCCCGCGACCCGGATCCCGACTCGGGCTACGGGACTCCCGCTCGACTCCCGCTCGACTCGCCGCTCGACTCGCCCCACCAAACGCCGAGAGCCCCGCGCAGCTCCCCGGGTCTCCGCTGCGCGCTCACCCAACATCTCCCCACTCGCACTCGCCCGCTGTGATTTTAAGGATCCTCCAGCTGCTGGTGGTGGGGCGGGGGGTGTGTGACGAGGGGGATACGGGTGGGGGTGCGTGTGATGTGTTGTGATGTGTGCGTGTGGGTGCGTGCTGCAGAGGGAGAGGATGGGGCGACACTGCCCCTTGGCTGTCGAGCGAGGAATCGCGGCGAGTGAAGCGGGACGTCCGTGATACATCATCACAATGCGTGATACATCACCACAATGCGTGATACATCATCACAATGCGTGATACATCATCACAATGCGTGATACATCACCACAATGCGTGATACATCACTACAATGCGTGATACATCACCACAATGCGTGATACATCACCACAACGCGTGATACATCATCACAACGCGTGATACATTATCACAACGCGTGATACATTATCATAACGCGTGATACATTATCACAACGCGTGATACATTATCACAATGCGTGATACATTATCACAATGCGTGATACATTATCACAATGCGTGATACATTATCACAATGCGTGATACATTATCACAATGCGTGATACATTATCACAATGCGTGATACATCATCACAATGCGTGATACATCATCACAATGCGTGATACATTATCACAATGCGTGATACATCATCACAAAGCGTGATACATCATCACAAAGCGTGATACTTCATCACAAAGCGTGATACGTCATCACAATGCGTGATACGTCACCACAATGCGTGATACATCATCATAATGCGTGATACATCATCATAATGCGTGATACATCATCACAACGCGTGATACATCACAATGCGTGATACATCATTACAATGCGTGATACATTATCACAAAGCGTGATACATTATCACAATGCGTGATACATCACAATGCGTGATACATCATCACAATGCGTGATACATCATCACAACGCGTGATACATTATCACAATGCGTGATACATTCTCACAATGCGTGATACATCACAATACGTGATACATAACCACAACGCGTGATACATCACCACAATGCGTGATTCATCATCACAATGCGTAATACATCATCACAATGCGTGATACATTATGACAATGCGTGATACATAACCACAATGCGTGATACATCATCACAACGCGTGATACATCATCACAACGCGTAATACATTATCACAATACGTGATACATCATGACAATGCGTGATATATCATCACAATGCGTGATACATCATCACAATGCGTGATACATCATCACAATGCGTGATACATCACCACAATGCGTGATACATCACCACAATCCGTGATACATCATCACAATACGTGATACATCATCACAATGCGTGATACATCATCTCAATGCGTGATACATCATCACGATGCGTGATACATCATCACGATGCGTGACACATCACCACGATGCGTGATACATCATCACGATGCGTGACACATCACCACGATGCGTGATACTTCATCACGATGCGTGACACATCATCACGATGCGTGATACATCATCACGATGCGTGACACATCACCACAATGCGTGATACATCACCACAATGCGTGATACATCACCACAATGCGTGATACTTCATCACAATGCGTGATACATCATCATAATGCGTGATACACCATCACAATGCGTGATACATCACCACAATGCGTGATATATCATCACAATGCGTGATACGTCATCACAATGCGTGATACACCATCACAATGCGTGATACGTCACCACAATGCGTGATACATCATCACAATGCATGATACATCATGACAATCCGTGATACATCATCACAATGCGTGATACATCACCACAATGCGTGATACATCACCACAATGTGTGATACATCATCACAATGCGTGATACATCATCACAATCCGTGATACATCATCACAATGCGTGATACATCACCACAATGCGTGATACATCATCACAATGCGTGATACATCATCACGATGCGTGATACATCACCACGATGCGTGATACATCACCACGATGCGTGATACTTCTCCACGATGCGTGATACACCATCACGATGCGTGATACACCATCACGATGCGTGATACATCACCACGATGCGTGACACATCACCACGATGCGTGATACATCACCACAATGCGTGATACATCATCACGATGCGTGATACATCATCACGATGCGTGATACATCACCACGATGCGTGATACATCATCACGATGCGTGATACATCACCACAATGCGTGATACATCATCATAATGCGTGATACATCATCACGATGCGTGATACATCAACACGATGCGTGATACATCAACACGATGCGTGATACATCAACACGATGCGTGATACATCATCACGATGCGTGGTACATCACCACGATGCGTGATACATCACCACGATGCGTGATACTTCATCACGATGCGTGATGCATCATTACGATGCGTGACACATCATCACGATGCGTGACACATCATCACGATGCGTGACACATCACAACAATGCGTGATACATAACCACAATGCGTGATACATCACCACAATGCGTGATACATCATCACAATGCGTGATACATCATCACAATGCGTGATACATCATCTCAATGCGTGATACACCACCACAATGCGTGATACACCATCACAATGCGTGATACACCATCACAATGCGTGATACACCACCACAATGCGTGATACATCACCACAATGAGTGATACATCACCACAATGCGTGATACATCATCACAATGCGTGATACATCACCACGATGCGTGATACGTCATCACAATTCGTGATACGTCACCACAATGCGTGATACATCATCACAATGCGTGATACGTCACTACAATGCGTGATACATCACCACAATGCGTGATACATCGTCACAATGCGTGATACATCACCACAATGCGTGATACATCACCACAATGCGTGATACATCATCACAATGCGTGATACACCATCACAATGCGTGATACTTCATCACAATGCATGATAAGCCATCACAATGCGTGATACATCACCACAATGCGTGATACATCACCACAATGCGTGATACATCATCACAATGCGTGATACATCATCACAATGCGTGATACATCATCTCAATGCGTGATACATCATCACAATGCGTGATACATCACCACAATGCGTGATACATCATCACAATGCGTGATACATCACAATGCGTGATACATCACAATGCGTGATACATCATCTCAATGCGTGATACATCATCACAATGCGTGATACATCACCACAATGCGTGATACATCATCACAATGCGTGATACGTCACTACAATGCGTGATACATCACCACAATGCGTGATACATCGTCACAATGCGTGATACATCACCACAATGCGTGATACATCACCACAATGCGTGATACATCATCACAATGCGTGATACACCATCACAACGCGTGATACTTCATCACAATGCATGATAAACCATCACAATGCGTGATACATCACCACAATGCGTGATACATCACCACAATGCGTGATACATCATCACAATGCGTGATACATCATCACAATGCGTGATACATCATCTCAATGCGTGGTACATCATCACAATGCGTGATACATCACCACAATGCGTGATACATCATCACAATGCGTGATACATCACAATGCGTGATACATCACAATGCGTGATACATCATCTCAATGCGTGATACATCATCACAAAGCGTGATACATCACCACAATGCGTGATACATCATCACAATGCGTGATACATCATCACAATGCGTGATACATCATCACAGTGCACTTGGTGGGGGGGGGGGGGGGGGCAGTGGAGCGGTTAGCGCGCTGCGCTTTACGAACCCAGCCACCACAGTTCGATTCCCGCTCACGTCTAACACGAGTGACGATTATCTGAATCGTTCCTGAGCCTTCCCGAGGTCGACTCAGCCTCAAATGAGTACCTGGTGCGGTGTGTAAAACATCAGCATTGGGGAGACAAAGGCGGCCGGGTATGGCGCTGGCCACCCACCCCCCTTGAGTGTCGTGTCGGACTTCATCAGTGCTCGCTAACAGCACTTGCCACGAAAGTCTGTTAAGGCTATACGGGGGTCTTTTCTTCTATATACTGTCCCATCACCATCATACTACGAATAGACATCATCCACGACTCGAGTGGCCTGGCTGGCTGCTTGCTGAGCTCCTCTTATGAACGCTGTTGTTTGTGGCTGCTGCGGGCTGTTAGCACCCAAACTAGCTGGGTAACTGGCAACACGGAATTCTCCGCTAGTAACAAATAAACTTTGAATTTGAATGAATTGGTGGCAGGAGTTTGGAAGATGTTTAATAACGGATAGCGACACCTTAGAAGGCGGGAGTAGCGAACACACAAGAGTGACGCGTTTCATTAAAAATTGTTACAACTTCTCAACTTGTGCTCATATTAATGTTATTCTTTCGGGAGAATAGTCTTAAAGTCTTTGACAATAAAAGCAACAATCTCACAAGACATATGATCGTGGCATGTTATTACTCCTGCTACTACATGAAAGTCAGATTGCTTGTCGTGCTCCGAAGCGCAGGATGACTGAGAGCAGAGTGTGGACGCTATGACAGCGGTCTCTACTGGTGCATCTAGAACAATAACAACAACAACAACAACAGAGACGTGCCACCATCACTGCCACTACAATAAGGCAGCCCTGCACGGTCATCATCAGACTGTTGGTGCAAGTGCTGTTAGCGAGCACCCGTTAAGCCCTGTACGGTCCACAAGGGAATGGAGTCGCCAAAACTACACCCGGCCGCCTTTGTCTCCCCAGTGCCTGTGTACTCATCAGGTGCTCATCATTTCAATGCTGGCATCACCACTGACGTTAGCCGCGAAACATCACAGTGGAAAATAACATCACCGAATCGCCTCACTGAGGAGTCTCAAGAGATGGCCATTAACGTGAATGGGCGTTTGTCTTCGTGTGGGAGGACTCAGACAGAGCACTTAGACAGAGCGCACGCGTGCATGACGGGGGGGGGGGGGGGGTTAACTACTTAACGCTCTGCACAGTTTGATTCAAACGTCCATTTCTGTACCTACATTTTCTGGCCATCTCATAGCCCAAACCTACACAATTCTGGCATTCCGCACCTCCAGGTATTACAGGCGTGGAGTATTCATCCAAGCGCAAACCAGGCTCAGGCCCGCTTCGCGTCGCGGAGCTGACGAGGTGGGGCGTGTGGCGGAGCTGATGAGGTGGGGCGTGAGGTGGAGCTGATGAGGTGGGGCGTGTGGCGGAGCTGACGAGGTGGGGCGTGTGGTGGAGCTGACGAGGTGGGGTGTGAGGTGGAGCTGACGAGGTGGGGCGTGTGGCGGAGCTGACGAGGTGGGGCGTGTGGTGGAGCTGACGAGGTGGGGCGTGAGGTGGGGCGTGGGGTGGAGCTGACGAGGTGGGGCGTGTGGCGCCATCTCGGCTCGCCGCAGCTGCCAACGCGTCCCATCGCGCACCACGTGGAGCCTCCCCTCGCTCCCATGGACCGCCAATCTCACTCCGGCCGTCTACCACAACCTGAGAGCCGAATACTCTATGTTGAACGTCGTGCGCACCGTACGTAGCCACCCGTGATTATAATCGGAGGTGCCAGTTGATGGGCAGCTTCAATTGTAAAAAATAAAAAAGG